TCAAGGTGTTGATAACGGGGGATTCTGCAATACTGTTAATGTCTAGACGCAATGGCTGGATTCTGTCTTATTGGACATGGTCACAACCTGACACTTGCATGGTGAGAATGTTACTGGCCACTTATTTGCCCAAATCTAAATGGTCCTGGTTTTCCTGCATTTGAATAGGGACTGCTTCAATATCTGAGGATACTGATTGTGTAATCGTCAGCAAACCTCCCCACTTTTGACCCTATGATGGAAAAATAACTGATGAAGGAGCTGAAGATGGTTGGTCCAGGACACTACCCTGAGGACCTGTAGGGATTCTTGTTGCAACGTGGTAGTGTCCCTACTCTGGGCCAGGAGACCCAAGTTCAAGTCCCACCTGCTCCAGAGGTGTGCAGTAACATCGCCAAACAGGTTGATTTAAAATAAAATTAAAACACGGTGATCTCCTGAAAAAATGTCCAGTAGCTAAGATAACTGACCTCTAATAACCAGAATTATCTTTCTGTGTTCTATCATGTGATATAAGTATAACATTTCCACATTTGCTGATGAAACAAATCCAGGAATGTGAAAAGTGAGGAAGATGCAAAGAGGCTTCAAGAGGGTTCAGACAGGCTAAATGAATGGGTAGGACATGACAGGCAGAATATAATGTGTAAATAACGTGAAATTATCTACTTTGGTAGGAAAAACTAGAATGCAGGCTATTTCTTAAATGCTCAGAAATTGGGAAGTGGTTAATGTCCAAAGAACCCAGGGGAATTGGCTGCTTAAGCACACTGAAGACCAGGTTCTATGGGAAGGTAAGTGATTCCTTGGGCATCAATGGGATGGGGCTGCTAGAAAAGGAGGAGGAGGTTGGAGGAAAGGGCAGGGGAGTGGATTTTTACACTCAGTTTATCACTCACGATCACTGTTTCTTCTCTTGTCTGCCTGAAAGTTAAGGAATCTGAGCCTCAATAACATCATGGTTGATCTGATTACTCCATCTTGGCAGTGGATTGGGAAGTACGATCCTGTGCATTCCCAGCCAGAATTTAATTCTTCATCTGGGAGGAAGATAAATGTATCCCACTGGTGGCAACCCATCTGATTATTTGCCCTCCCTACTGTTTGTTGTTTTTGCTGTACCAAGTGTGTATGGGTGAGAGCTCTACGAGATTGTTAAAAGATTTTTCTTCATCACCACATGGCTCTTGCGATCTGTTTGTAGTGGATACTGACTGAGTGGCTGTGGAGTGGCATGGCATTATGAGTTGGCCTGGAGATAGGAGGGGGAATGTGGTGGATGTCTTGGAGGTATAGTATACATGGAGCTGGCATGGAGAGGGCATGATTCATGAGTTACCATGGAGGAGTCACGGTTGGAGGGGTGAGGGGTCGAGCGAGGTGAGGAGGGCCTCACAACTTTTAAAACAGCTGGGATAAATTTCCACAGAACCGAGGTGGGTCTTTCAACTAAGCAACCTCAGCCTTTGTCCACTTTGGTGGCTGCCTACAAACTGCTCTTGAGCCCAGTCAGCCTGACTCAATCCTCCCACCACCTCCCTGGTGCTTTAATTGGGTGTAACAGGGCCCTTTAAGCAGAGATGGGTCTGCCAATTCGGAAATTTCTCAAATGGAGCTATGGACTTTAGTAATGAAAATCTGGCCCAAGGGCTGGGACTGTTTATTGCCCAAACAGCCTGTCTTTTTAAAACAAAAAGTTCCCTAAAACAGAGACTTTTGAGAACTGCTGGAAAAAAGTTAGGATTTATTGATAACCATGCTGTCGTCATACCACTCAAACTGGTTTGTTTACAACACTGATGTTTTTAATTTTAAAACAATGACATTTTTATCTTCAAATAATCATTTGAAACCACAAATACAGAATGATTACCCCTCTTGGTTTGTCCTTTACTCGGAATATGAGGAAAGCTGACATTTGTTGCTCATCCCATTTATCCCCACAATATAATCACAGCTCTTACTTCTCCTCACTTAATTCTTTTTTAGGCTATTTTCATAATAATGTGATTCAACTAAAGTTGGTTGGGAACCTCAAGTGGGATACTGGAGAACACTGTTTACTGTTAACCATAGGATTAAAAAAAGGGGTGTGGCAGGTTGGCTCAGTGGTTAGCACTGCTGCCTCATAGCACCAGGGACCCAGGTTCAATTCCAGCCTCTGGCAACTGTCTGTGTGGAGTTTGCACGTGTCTCCCTGTGTCTGCATGGGTTTCCTCCCACAGTTCAAAGATGAGCAGGTTAGCTGGATTGACCATGATAAATTGTCCATATTATCCAGATGAGTGCAGGGTTACAGAGTAGGGTGGGGGTATGGGTCTGGTAGGATGCTCTTCAGATGGTTGGTGTGGACTTGATGGGCCAAATGGTCTGCTTCCACACTGTAGGGATTCTATATTTAAAAAAAAAAGAACCAAGTGCAGCTGTAGAGTGGCAGTTTGCACCTACATTAGGTGGTGAAATACATAAGCTTGAAGCTTGAACACATGAACTTCTGTATCAGTGGCAAAGGTCAGTGTTCCCAATAGGCTAAGTTGACATTTCAATCTGGCAGTGATAATCCAGCTTCCAATAGCTACAGGCCCAACCTGACCAGCAGGACCTACATGCTGAGACTTGGGCTACAGTATCAATCTATCATATGTTGCAATGATATCCTGATGTATATTAAAAAAAAAACTCTTTCCTAAGTCATTTTGAGTTAATTAAAATCAAAACAACTACAGATAAATCTTACACCACTGAGCTCCCCTGAAGTTATTTGATTTCACTTGCAGTCTATGAGCTGATATCAGCTATTGCAATAACTGGAGCACTAAAATGGGTCTCAGTTTCAATACAGCAGTGTGGGAGAAAAACAAATCAACTAGTGTTCCTGTTGTGATCCATCATCTAGTGTAAGAAAATTACATAAGGACAGAATTGGGACCATTGTGACTCTCCTACCATTTATCTCCATGGCAAAGCTGACAGTAGCTGTTCATGCAGCATGGAGACTGTGAAGAATCATCATTTGGATAAGTAATACAGGCATAGAGGTACTCATGGAGCTAGACCATAACACTAAAGTAGGGACCTGTAGTTAATACGTGATGACATTGCTTAATCTAGTCTTTTTTACAGTTCAGAAATAATCAGAAGTAGCACACTGTGAGATGAGCTTAAACTATGAAATGCCACTTGTATTGTCCCACTGCTCATAAACAAAGTTTGATTACTGGTAATAAATAAGAATTCAGTGTCTGGCCATTATATAGCAATGCTGACTTGGTACAATGTAGAATATATATTCTACAAACTCCACTCCTTTGTTTCACTTTGTATTTAGTGTTTAATTTTGTACTTAGTGTTTCATGGGGCTGAGCCTTCCATAGAATGAGACTGTTTGCTTGGATTTTGGTACCAAATCATTTTTACAGTAACCCAGGCTTTTTTATTATCACGACATACAGCATCATGGTCTTTCATCTCCGTTTTCACTGCCCTTTTCCTTAACCCTTTCTTCTTTGTGTCCTGTATAAAAACTCACCAGTTCATCTTAATGGTCAACCCCTTGACATTGCCATCTCACATGGTCTAGCTTATCCCAATATAACAAGCACAGATAAAGCTATGTCTTATCACTGCTTTTGATCCATCTCCATCCATATCCCTCTTCCCTCATACCATCATCTTCTTTCTGTGTTTACCTCTGGTTAAAAAAAAGCGTGTGGATATTGAGTTCCAGATTATTATCACCCAGACCCTCAAGAATGTGGTTGATTCTTAACTGCCTTCTGAAATAGCCTACCAAGCCAAATAGTTATAATGAATCACCATGCTTGCAATCGGTTCAAGAAGGCAGTTCATCTGCACCTTTTGAAAGGCAATTATGGATAGTTAATAATTGTTGGTCTGGGCAGTGACACCCACATCCTGAGAGAACATAATAAAAATATAAACGGAGGTAATATTCAACTTGTGCAAAACCTTACATCTGCTGCAATTGAAGCTGTGTGTACACTGATTCGAACCCCACTGTAGAAAGAGCATTCAGTTGGAAAGGTTCAGATTCATCAGGATGCTGTAAGTGACAACTGTTGCCAGCTATTAATACAAACTTGAGAAGTCATAGCTTTTTCCACTTTAACTAAGGTTAAGAGGAGATCTGACAGAACACTTCAAGCTTATTAAGGATAATTATAAGACAGATAATGACAGCCATCAATAAGAGGCCACAAGGTTACAATCAACAACTATCAAATTGGATATAGGGTTGAAAATTGTTCTATGCACAACATGCAATTACTTGTGAATCTGTCTGACTTAAAGTGCTATTCGGGCAGAATTCATAAATCCTGTTCAAGGAAATTAGTTGGTAACTTGAAATGATAGAAGGAAGAGCAGGGAAGTGGGATCAGACTAAGTGGCTCATGTGGAGAAAAGCAGTGGTGCTGATTAGTTGGGTTAAATAGCATTAATATTCTATGATTACGAGAATAGAAAAGAAAACATTGTAATATAAATTTAGAATTTTGATTTTTCTTTATTTAATAAGGGAGTCAAGGAGTACTTGAACATAAGGCCAGAGAAGACCTAACTTCTAAGTTAAAGATTCATTTTATGCAATTGAAAAGGACAACATTCATAGCCTCACAGTAATCAGGCTATCAGGCCAAAAAAGCTTAGAGTTCAAATACCACCATGGCAAGTGTTGAAATCAAACTCAAAAAATATGGTTTGGTGCTTGAAAACCCTTTGAAATCTGTCAAATTGTGACAAAACTTCCACCTTTAGCACGTGTGCCATTTGTGAGATTCTACTCCTCACAGTGGGCAGTGGACTCTTAATGCCCTCAGGGCAATTTGGAGTCAATATAAATAATGTCACCTAAATCTCAAGAATAAATAATAAAAAGATCTACTTTGAATATTTAGATAGAGACAAACCTCAGCATGATGCTATTAATGATGATTCATTAATTGTGTCTACTATTACCACCTTTGATCATGTGCTCATACCTGTATCGGGATATGTTGCGTTTCTGCTTACTCTGCAGTTTCCCCATGACAATAAAGCGTTTACTGGAGGCATCTAACAGTCAGGTAAAGAGCTTACTGGCCAGCATGATGTAAGCTGTAATTCTCAGTGCTTTTAAGCCAGATGCAACCAGAGCCTAAGAGAAAGGAAACGCGAATAGTGCAAGAACAATATTGAAGTTACAAATGCATAAACTAAATTCATGAATTAAATGCATATTTTAAAGTGTAATTTGAAGCAAGCTGGGGTGGAATCAACTGCCAAGATTTTTGATTAATATTTTGCAGAACCAACAAGCTCACACAAAAGACAGAAAATCTAATTAGATTCATAGAAAATATCAAAAAGAATGGGTTTTCCATTGTGCAATGCCATAATCTGTGCAATTACATAATTCCATTAAAAAATCTTAGAGATTGGCATTATATTATGCAATACTGCGGACACAGTATGTCAAACCTGTCAATCAGTAAACTACATTTATCCAAATTGGCAAGGAAAACAAAATCTAGGCAATGCACAAATCCAGACAGGTATTGCAAAGTTGTAATTGCAACACATTGCAACATCTTTAGTATGCTTATACCGTGGAATCTGAATCCAAAATATCCTATTCTTATGTCTCTGAACACTTTATCTGATTGAGAGGAGAATGCTGGCAACACTGTCCTGTGTTTGCTATCAACACAAATCCTCTTTTGTAGACATGAGATCAGCATGGCTTTCCATCTGCTGAGGCTCTGGGATTTCTCTCTGGATGGATGAATCAAGATGAAGCTTCATAATAGCCTTCCATTAAGGTTTATGCCCAGTAGTTTCTTTGTCAGTAACCTACAGGGTTCTTACCTTCACAGAGCTATGTCTAAGGTTGATTAGTTTGCTTATTGTCTGCATAGATTGTGTCGGATTTGTTTCTCAGTCTTCTCGGACAGAGTTTTATTCATTCCTATTCCTGCTAGCTCTCCATATTCACCCCTCTATTGTTGTATCCGACTTTATCTTTGCTCCTTTCTGCCATCCCCACCTCCACATGGGTTGCACCTGGCAACGCCGCTCCGGTATCCAAGGAGATCCCACCCTCTAACCTGTCCCACGCCTCCACTTCCGGTCCGTCAATCTAACCCCTCCTACACCATCCTGAGGGAGGGTGGTTGATGATGCAGTAACCAGCTAGGAACAGGTCATGAGACTGAATTATAAAGAAAGAATTTTTTGTTTCAAATGTAATACATATCCCAACCATTAGACAGTTTTATAGAGATAAGCATCACTGAATATCTTACCCTGCAATCAAAATTAATAACATTACGGGGTAAATGTGTGCGGATTTTCAAGTGCAACATTGGATGGATGCAATAGATTTAACTTCATTTTGCTTATCAACATTGTTTGTAATTCCACGTCCCCCTAATGCAGACCCTGGATTCCTTGGGATGCTTTTTCCATCAGTGGACCACAGCTACCCAAATTAGCCAGAAAAACAAAATCTAGGTAATGTGACTGGATTCCTTGGAAGCTTTCATGGTATCAGCTTCTTCTCTTGGTGTACTCTGATTTTAATGGTTTGTTAAGTTAGCAATATGACTCTTTGACCTCACCTTTCATTCTGTCACTGCGATTGCATATGAATTACATGATTCCATTGCCTTAAAATTACACATCAAAAATGTTTCTCTTGCATAGCCTTCTTGGTTCACATGTCCCACAGGTTTTGTCTTATTTGCAAAGCCACAGCTAGCTGCACCAAGCTCAGCACTCCCATTATCCAATGTCTGTCTTCTCTGCCAGCTCCCTATGCTCAGCATGTCAATGTTAAGAATCACTTTTTCTTACCCACGGTATGTCACACTCCATTTCAGTGATGACTCCCCAAACACCTTCTCACCCTTAATTACCACTGCTGTCAAGGCTATTATTTGTTGCTTTATCCTTAGATAATCTTAAGGTGGCAATTGGGAAGGTACTCCTACAATAGTGTTCAGTAGAGGGCAGGGAAATCTACAGTGCCTTTGTTCTGTTCATCATAGCCTCATTTGTCAGAGTGCAAATTGACTGTGTTACCCATTAATTATGAGGGGAAAATTGAATTTTATGTATGATGAATTGTATGACCCCATTTATTCTAAATTGAGATAATTTCTGTTTCTATGTGTTTGTGAGATGGTGGAAGGGGATGGTAGGTGGGTGGCATGTGTAGCTTCACCATGATTGGTTGAGATGGACCTAAGAAAGCAAGCAGTCATTTACTAACCTTATCGTGTGGATAAATTATCAGTCCATTCCCAAGGCTGAAGCTAATGATTAAAAATGTTTCAAACTATTTTGAAGATATGACATGACAAAGGAGGAATTCTACTTCCCTTTAAGCATTGGAGAATCTTTCAAAATCTAAGATTTAAATGTGAGGTCTTAATAGGATGAGATGTGACTTTACCTGATTCTTGTCCTTTTTGTGACCTGTTCTATTAGTCAATTTGTTAAAGAAACACGATTGAACCTACACAAGACAGAGTCCAGAGGTTCCAAAAATCAGCTTACCAAGGCCTTCTCAAGGGAAATTAAGGATCAGCAATAAATGTCTTTGATGAGTGAAAGAATAAATGAAAATGCATGTGCCAGGTGTGGAGAGCAGATGTTGGCCATTTTGAACTTTGGGTGAGTAGACCAAGCTGTCCTTTAATGCTATGAGCAAGGATGGAAGTTGAATTCAATCCATGTTAAAATCCTGTATTAGTGAGTCCTTCTCCTGTCTCCTTTACTATGTCTGATAGAAATGCAAGTTATTTATAATCTGGAGCAACTTTCATGACTTCAGGGCATCACAAAGTACTTTACAGCCAATTACTTTTTTTTGAAGTTCAGTGACTATTGTAATTCAGTAAGAAAGGAAGCAAATGAAAGGGTGATCACATAATCTGCTCCACTAATGAACATTGACTGAGAAACCAGGGAAAGAAAACACCATGTACACTGAAATTCCAAAGTAAAAATACAAATTTCTTAGCAGGTCTGGTGGAGACCTGTGGACAGAAGAATGGAGTTAATTTATCAGGTCAGTGACCTTCCATCAAAACTCTTGTCAGATAAATTCATCACGTGTTCTTAGAAAAATGCTGCTTGTCAAGCTGAGGTTGAGTTTTGGTGCTGGTGGTGAGAACACTCATCAATTGTGCTGATAAAAGATCATTGATCGAAAATATTAACTCTGTTTCTTTCTCTCCACGTGTCGCCAGACCTGCTGAGTATTTCCAGCATTTTCTGTTAATAAGGAGACCTGCCTTGCTATTCGTTGAATGCCATGGAATCTATTAGCTCCCCCAAAAGAGTATGTGGAGCCTCAGTTTAACGTCTTGGCAGAAAGATAGCATGGCAAACAGTACATAGTTCCATCAGCATTGCATGGGAATGTCAACCTTCATTTTGCGCTTAGCCAGAAATAGAAAGAAACTATATATTGAGAAAATAATTTAGAAGACTTACAAAGGCAGACATGACTTTTATTTTTTGAAAACAAAGCATGTTTATTTGGTAATTTCATACAAATTTGACATTAAATTTTGCAAACAAAAACATTGCTTCAAATCCAGATTCTAATGCCCACTCGAGAAGTTAATGAGGAAAACAATTTAGCAAAGGATCCTGTTTCCATTTCCTTGTAAACTAAATGCAACGTGGTGCATTTTGATATCCATTATTATGTACTTAAGTACCATGTGACTGGAAAGAAAATGGAGTACAGCAGGTTCTCCTATAAAGTGTGTCCTGGCAACGCAAATTGGCTGTAACGTGATTGATGAATAGGGGAACAGTATTTCTAAAAAACGAACTTGTGTTGGCTATAACACAATTACATCGAGTATGGATTATATGTCATAAACCTCAAATATTCTATTACACAAAGAACTTATTAGGAAAATATGTAAAGTCTTAGTTTGAAGAGTTTGGGCTGAACATATTAAATGCATCAGCATTGTTTAAAAACGCGGCTCATTTAAAGAGAAGAATGGACTCCAATAGTAAATTGATGATATAAATAAAAAAGTACAGTTTAAAATAATGAGTGCTGTTAAAACATGCATCTTTGTGTATAGTATCTTTGCCTAGATTTTGTTACGTATTTAATATGTAAGAATTTTTGAACTTGCTCATGTAAATCATTTATACAGTACCAAAACGTGTCTGTGCAACAACCCACTCTTTTCCAGCACTATTTTGAATACAATGTTACTCAGGTTTATTAAGCATTTTAATCCTACAATTAACTTCAATGCCAATGGGCTACATCAGAAAGAAAGGTCAGATTCCTCTGCTTCACTTATCTGAAAATCTATCCAGAAGTCTGTGCTGATGGAATGTCAGGTCAGATCAGCATTTAAGTGGGGGAGGGAATTTTACTAAAAATTGTCCACATGTCAATTTCAGTGGAGTTTCATGGAGGGTTGCTGGTAGTGAGCTCTTATCTCTCACAATTTTGCACTGTTCACCTTTTTTGGATCATAGCACTCCAATAACTTTCCACTTATTTCAGGCAGGTGTTAAAGATTATATCTGAAATTGCTGACATGTCAATTTCAGGGGATTTCATGGAGGGTTGCTGGCTGGGAGCTCTATCTCTCACAATTTTGCACTGCTTACTTCTTTTGGATCATGCTTACTCTATCATGAAGTACTGATCGTTGCTGGGATTTCCAGTGGCAAAACTCTATTTAAAGCCCAGCTGTCACTTCATTGCAAATACAAGGTCAGATTCGTAAATGTATTGCCTGTTTGCAGCATCACCTGTCTGATAAACTGTCATTATAACTGCAGCTACAAGAATGAAACTACACAGGTGAGGAAGAATTTTGGAAAATATAATTGTTATGTGTGCTTTGTGCCCCTAACCCTGTTTTTCCCAGAGGCCCCATTATTTATATAGCGCAATTTTCTATAATGCGGTGTTGCACTGGAACACAACTGTCACGTTATAGCAGAACCCCTGCACTGAGTCCAGTTCTGGTCTCCCTGTTATAGGAAGGATATTTCAAGCTGGGGAAGGTTCAGAAGAGAATTACCAGGATATTGCTGGGTATGGAGGGTTTGAGTTATAAGGAAGGGCTGGATAGAGTCGGAGCATAGGAGGTTGAGAGGTGACCTTACAGAGGTTTATGTAATAATGAGGGGTCTAGATAAGGCAAATGACAAGTTTCTTTTACGTAGGGTGGGGATTTAAAGACCACAGGGTATATTTTTAAGGTGAGAGGAGAAAAGTTTTAAAAAAGACATAAGGGGCATTTTTGTTTTAAACTGAGTGGATCGTGAGTGGAATGAACTTCCAGAGGAAGTGGTGGATGTGGGTACAGTTACAACATTTAAAAGACATTTAGATAAGTACATGAATAAGAAATATTTGGAGGGATATGAGCCAAGCGCAGACAGATGGGATTAGTTTAGTTTGGGATTATGGACTGGTTTGGTTGTTTCCATGCTGTATGAGTCTTTGAATATTTCTGCTTTTCCCCAGAACAGAGGCCTGCCAGGCACAGACAAATGAATGCCCCTTTATAAGCTGAATCTGTATTCTCCTGGAATTCTGCTAGTGTTTAATTTAACACGAATCATAGAGAAAAAATGCATGTTAGCCTCAATCACATGAATAACCCTGCACATTCAGTCATGTTTAATTATTTGAGTGTCCACCCAGTCTTTAGTACACCAAAAATAACCTGCATCACGCAGTTTGATAAGTATATCCTGTGTGCTGTCATAAGTGATTGTCTAGGGTCTGGAATGCACTGACTGTGTGTGATAGAGCTTACAATCGCGATTTAGATAATTATATGAGGAGCAAATATTTTGCAGTGTGTCAGGTAAGGGTGGGGAGTGGCACTAATTGAGTTGCAGAGAGCCAGCATGAACACAATGGGCCAAATGGCTGCTTCCTGTGCTGTAACCATCCTGTGATAAGGAACACTGTTCCTGTGGGAAGGAGACTTGGTAAACAGACTTTAGATAATAGGGAAAAGAATCAGAGGGTTTTTTTTTAACTTGCGAATTATGATCGGGAATGCACTGCCTGTGAAAGGTGGTGGAAACAGATTCAGAAGTAACTTTCAAAAGAGGAATTGAGTGAAATATAAGGGAAAGAAATATAGGAAAAAGATAGGGTGTTTGGAAAACTCTTTCAAAAACCAACACAGGAATGGTGGGCCAAATGGTCTCTTTCATTGTCTGTATGATCCTACAAGCTAGATTGTTAATCAGTAGGGGAATCAAGTGTTATAGGGATAATGTGGGAAAGTGTATATGAGGAATGTTGGATCAGCCACGATCCTACTGAATAGGAGAACAGGGGAGAGGAGCCAAATTGCCTACTCCTGTTCCTTATGGTCTTACTCGGCTTTCTGTTTATTGCTTGGGTAAAGAGAACTCTCTATAACAATACGGAACTTTGTCTTTTGTAGCTGATTGTCAAGTGATGCATACACTTTAAAAAGCAGAAGCAAGTACCATAGTTCTGGTTCATGAGGCCAGAATGTCAGTTCCTGATTCAATTTAGAACTGAAACAAGTTGTTTACTGCTTCAAAAGAACTGTTGATATTAAAGAGAAGAAATACTGAGCACGTGACATTGATGACAGCTTACAGATAAAAAGCAATTTCTTATTCTGCCTCCAAGAAATTCAGCTTCTGGAAATAGTAGGTTAATAGTTGGATTTGTTCACTGTGACTTGAGAGAGAAGGTGCCTTTGAGACAAGCCAGCTCCTGCTCGTTTCTGGTAAGGACTCCCATAGCTTTGTAATTTCCGCTGGTCATCCAAGATGGCAGCTCTACAGGAGGGAGGTCGAAGTAAGTGTTTGGCATAGAGTACTTGCCCTAGGTACCAAACAAAAGAGAGCATTTTGGTGTGACAGGCAATTAAACAGGAAACATTTATCCATCTAATTGAAGCCACAAGTTTTTACGTTAGACATTAACTGACTGCTTTTATCGTAATACTCTACTTCCTTTTCTAGCCAACATCTTCCCCTTCATACCCAAGAGAATGCTTTATTGAAGTTCCATGTGTGTGTCCTCCTCCAAGTGCCCTTTGTTCATGTGTACTGTATCTGAATACTGTAGTAATAATAGATTATAATAGATTAAAAAATGTAGATAAATCTAATTTTAATTAAAGTATGCATTCAAACTACTTCCAGTGTAATTAAAATTATCAGCTAGTCCACTTTGACTACATATGCTTGTCTATCCCTCAGCTCTTGTTAAAAGCTAGTATGGAGAAGAGCACAGATGAGTTTGTGAGTGTATTTTTCTTGTATCTGAGAGATTGGTTGCATTTAGGGAAAACACTACAATAATAGTACTGGGACCAGGGTGATTTTCATTGTTCATGACACTTTGCCAAAATCCTTTGAGAGATTTCATCAAGAAGATGAAATATCCTTCTGTGCCTCAGTACCCTTAGAATCTGCTTTCCTAAAATACCTCCGCAGGCAACTTCTCTAATAGGAAAACATGCTCAACCACAGCCCTATAAAGAGTTTCATTGCTGTAGGATCAACTCAGAAAGGTTTGAATTTACTCTGATAATATGGATGTTTATGTATCTTAGCTACTATACCTGTGCCATATTTCCTCCTATTCAATCTACCATCCATTTTGACAGGTAGGTGCTTGTCGTGACTAACAATTTTAATATCCTCATCATGAATCTTCATAGGAATAATATCATTAACTGGCTTTTTTTAAAAGTCTACAACTGGTCCTTTTGCCTTGCTTTTGTTCAGTTAAAGAGAATTATTTTTGCACCATTTGACAAAGTTCTCTACCAAGCCCCTTATTTACTCCACTATTCCCAGTGACACCCACAAATACTGTACCGTTAACAAACTACAAGATTGTTATGTCATTGTATGCTGATTGACATCATTCGGATAGCAAGTGAAAAGTAAAGATGGCAGTACACAACCCGAAGGATAGCTAATGTTTGTTAACGTAGAGTCCAAGAAAATCTTGGAAACTAATACTAGCTGCATGTTATTTGACTGGTTGTGTTCATACCAGTCAACAAAGATCTGACTACAGTAATCTCATTTTCCACCTCATGGCCAATAGCTCTGGAGGCTTTGATAATGCATGTGAATATCTAAATACCACTTAAATGTTACAAGAGTTTCTAACTCAACCACCTTTTCAGGCAGAGAGTTCCAGACTCCAACATCCTCAGCGATAAAATGTCTCAACTCTTCTCTTGTCCTTCTGCCTCTTGCCTTACATTTATACCCTTTGGTTATTTACTCCACTGGAAGAAACAGCCTTCTGTCCACCTTGTCTCTCAATCTTAAACACCTCTATCTGGTCCCTTCTCAACTTTTGCTGCTCCAAGGTTAACAACCTCAGCCTGACCAATCTCTCCTCATAGCTCAGACCCTCTAGACCAGACAGCATCCTAGTAAATCTTTGCACCCTCTCTCGTGCAATTACATCCTTCCTATAATGTGGTGACCAGAAGTGCATGCAGTAGTCCAGATGTGGCCTAACCAGCATTTTAGACAGTTCCAGCATAACTCCCTTGCTGTTGTATTCTATGCCTCAATTAATAAAAATAAGTATTTATATGCCTTCTTAACTGTCTTATCTAGCTACGTTGTTAACTTTAGGGGATATGCACACCAAGGTTCCTCTGATCTTCGGTACTTTCCAGGGTCCTACCATTCATAGTGCAATCCCTTGCCTTATTACCTTCCCCAACTGCATTACTTCACACTTTTCCAGGTTGAATTCCATTTGCCATTGTTCTGCCCTCCTGACCAGTCCCTTGATATCCTCTTGCAGTTTATGGCTCTCCTCCTCAATATTTAACATCCAACTAATTTTCATGTCATCTGCAGACTTCTTTATCTTACCCAAATCATTAATGTATACAAACAAAAAAGACAGGTAGGTCTCCAGTAATGTGGCATGCAGAACCCCACTGGAAACAGACTTCTGGTCACAGAAATATCTCTCCACTATTACCCTTTGTTTTGCTGTCTCTCAGCCAATTTTGGATCTAATGTGCCACATTGCTTTGGATCCCATGGGCCCTTATTTTCTTGACCAGTGTGCCATGAGGGACCACATCAAATGCTTTACCCTCATTAATACTCCTGGTTACCTCAAAAAATTTCGATCAAATTTTTCTAACACAACCCTCCCTTAACAAATCAGTATCGAGTATTTGTAATTAATCCATGTGTCTCCAAGTACAGGTATAGACTGTCGCTAAGAATTGTTTGTAATAACTCCCCACCCAACCCACCCCAACCACCATTTGGCCAGCTGGCCTGTCATTTCCTGGTCTATCCCTTCCTCCCTTCTTTTAAGGATAGGATAACGTTAGCAGTCCTCTGGCACCTAATCCGTAACCAGACAGGATCTGAAAATTACTGCCAGAGTCCCTGCTATCTCCTCCCTTGCCGCACTCTTCTGTGAAGGTTTACAGATAAATGATCAGGTTGGAGATCCTTGCTGATTTTTCTGTATCCAGGTGGAAGAGGCGATTTGTGATATCCCTAGCTCTGCCCTGGATAAAACAAGTCAACTAGACACAAACTAAACAAAGACATTTCTAGTCACAATGTTTCAACCATTCAGCTTTCATCAGCTGAGCTGAAAAAAATAGATTAAATTCATAGCTAATCAAATTTAAAAAAGTTCCAGACTAAACATTCATGAAACAATACTGCCTTGAACTCAGACGTGATTTTGTCAGCAGGTTTGAAGGAAGCAATTCAATTAATATTATATTATGCAATATTTGTCACAGATGCATTGATACACTCATATAAAATTGTTACCTGTTATCTTAATGGTGTTAATCAGTTAAGAGAACAGGATTTTGTCTCTCTCTCAAAGAATTACTCTTGCCCTTTTTGTTTTAGGCTTGTCTTTCTGGTCGTAGACTATCCCATGTTTCACCTGATCATCCCAACACAACCTCCATTTTTGTTCACAGGATCCGGGCGTCGCTGGGTGGCCAGCATTTATTGCCTGTCCCTAGTTGTCCTCAAGATGGTGGTGAGCTGCCTTCTTGACTGCTGCGGTTCATGTGATATAGGTTCACCTATAATGCCATTAGGGAGGGATTTCCACGATTTTGACTTAGCAACAGTGAAGAAACAGCAATGTATTTACAAGTCAGGATGGTGAGTGGCTTGGAAGGGAAATTGAAGGTGATGCTTCCATAAATCTACCACCCTTGTCCTTCTAGATGGTATCGGCCATGAATTTGGAAGGTGCAGTCTGAGGAATTGGTGAATTTCTGCTGTGCATCATGTAGATAGTACACACTGTTGTTACTGAGCATCAGCAGTGGAGGGAGTGGATCTTTGTGGATGTAGTGCCAATCACGTGTGCTGCTTTGTCCTGGATGGTGTCAAAATTTCTTGAATGTTGTTGGAGTTGTCCATCCAGGCAAGTGGGAAGTATTCCATCACACTCCTGACGTGTGCCTTGTAAATGTGGATAGGTTTTGGGGATTCAGGTAGAAAAGTTACTCACTGCAGGATATTCTTAGTCTCTGAACTTCTCTTGTAGCTGGTTGTGATTTATGCATTTAAATGACTAGTCCAGTTCAGTTCTTTGTCAGTAGTAACCACCAAGGTATTGTTAGTGGGGATTTAGTGACGGTAATTATAATGACGTTGAATGCCAAGGGCCAGTGCTTAGATTGCCTGTTAGAATGATAGCACTGTGTAGTACAGAAACAGACCCTTCGGTCCAACTCATCCATGCCGACCAGATATCCTAAATTAATCTAGTCCCATTTGCCAGCATTTGGCCCATATCCCGCTAAACCCTTCCTATTCAGATATATATCGGGATGCCTTTTAAACGCTGTAATTGTATCAGCCTCCACCACTTCTCTGGAAACTCATTCCATAAACGCGTCACCTTCTGTGTGAAAAATGTTGCCCCTTAGGTCCCTTTTAAAGATTTAAGCTGAGAGGGAAAATCTATGTCCTCTAGTTTTGGATTCCCCGTTCCTGGGGAAAAGACTTTGGCTATTCACCCATCCATGCTCCTCATGATTTTATAAGGTCACCCCTCAGCCTCTGAAGTTCCTCTTGTTGGAGATGTTGCCTGGTACTTGTGTGGCACAAAAGTTACTTGCCACTTGTCTGCCCAAACCTGGATTTTGTCAAGGTCTTGCTGCATTTGGCCATGGACTGCTTCAATATCTGAGGAATAGCGAATGGTGCTGAACACTGTACAACCATTGGCGAATATCCCCACTTCTGTCCTTACGATGGATGGAAAGTCCTTGATTAAGCAGTTGAAGATGGTTAGGCCTCGGACACTACCCTGAGGAACTCCTGCAGAGATGTCCTGGAGCTGAGATGACTGACCTCCAACAACCACAACCAACTTCCTTTATGTCAGGTATGACTCCAACCAGGGCTGTGTTTGCTGTTGTTGTTGCCAGTGCCTTAGCTGATATTACCTGTTCTGTGCGGTTTCATTCATTTTTTTAAAGATGATTAACAATAGATACAACTGCTAGACCATTTCAGAGGGCAGGTAAGAGTCAACCACTTTGTGGTGGGTGCCCATGTAGGACCATGCATGGTGAAGACAGCAGCTTCCTTCCCTAAAAGGATATTCAGGAACCATATGGGATTTTAAAACAATTTTATTTCCAGATTTTACTGAATTCAGATTCCACCATCTGCTGTGTTGGGATTCAAACCCAGGTCCCCAGAACATTACCTGGATCTCCAGATTACTACTTCACTAACTGTACCGTTAAGACATTGCCTGCTTTTATATATGCAGTCATATTCTTTCTTGGTCTGTTTCCATCAACTTCTCCCAGGCAGTTTGAACTGCATTAACATATCCTATATTTCTGATAATGTCTAGAATTGTTACAATACAGAAGGCCATTCAGTCCTTTGCAAGATGAGCTCACCTAGTCCCTGCCCCCATGGAGAGCAGCAGGCCACTCAGCCCCTTGAACTTGCCTCACCATTCAATGAGATCATAGTTGATATGTTTGTGTTCTGAATTCCACATCCACAACTCCCTGTAACTCTGCTGTCTTAAAAATATTCAATGACAAAGTCTCACAACTCAGAAAAAAAAATCCCTTCCACATCTGCCATATCAAAATCACTCAGGATCTTATACACTTCCGTCAAGTCACCCCTCATTCTTCACCTTCTCATCAGTATACCAATCAACCGTATTCTCAATCTGCTCTGCCATCTCCAATGATGTGTGAATATATACCATCAGCTCTCTTTACTCCTGCACTCCTTTTGAATCATATCTTTACATTTCCTGTCCTCATTCCTCCTTCTGATTCACACCACTCTGCACTACATTCCATTGGCCTATCCTCGCAATTCACAATATTCTCCAAATTTTGTGTCATCCGCAAATATTGAAATTGTGCTAGAAATACCAACATCTAGCTCATTCATATAGATTAGGGAAAACAGTGGTCCTGATACAGACCTTTGGAGAATTGTATTATATTCGCCACCACTTGCTGTTTTCTGTCACTCAGGTAACATCACGCTCATGTTGCCAATGTCTTTGTAACTCCACAGGCTTCAATATTGCTGAAACTCTGATAAGTGGCACTTTATCAAAAACTCCTTGTGAACCACATCAATTGCATTGCCCTCATTCACTTCTTGCCTCGTTTAAAAACTCAGTCAAATTTGTTAAACACAATTTGCCCTTAACATCTGTGCTGGGTCTCCTTATTTAATTCACAGTTGCACACGTAACTGGTATTGTTTTCGAGATTAGTGTTTTTTAGAAGCTTCGCTTTGTCAAGGTTAGACTCAACAACCTGTATTTGTTGGATTTACCCTTGCATTCCTTTTGGAACAAGAGAGTAACATTTGCAATTATCCTCTAGCACCATCCTTGTGTATGGAAAGGGTTGCAAGATTATTGCCAGTGCCTCCCCAAATTCCATTCGCACTACCCTTGGTAGTCCCCAGATTCATCAGATTTGGTCTTGGTGACTTACAAACTTTAAATGTAGCCATCATTTCCAATCCCAAATCCCTCAAATTGTGTCGCAACAGCAACCATGTCAAGGATCACAGCTCCTGTATATGTAGTGCTCCTGCCAGGAGTTGTATTACTGCCTACTTTGTTTAGACTCTTACCGCTTTGAAAGGACAGTGACATGGGAGTCCATATGTATATAGTGGCTCCGGGCAGTCTTGTCCAGGTGGGATCACCTCGTTCAGTAGTTGGCAGACATCGTCATAAACACAACTTCCAATTTCTTCAATACATGGAATTTTCACCCAAACTCCAGCAACTTCCTTATGCAGTGTTACGTTAACCTATTAAACAACAGCAACTTGCATTTATATAGCATCCTTTAACAAGTAAAACGTTTCAATGACAGTGGTTATCAAATTTGACACCAAGCCCACGTAAGCGATTGGTGGAAAAAAGTCGAGGATAGATGAGGAAAGAAATCTTTCATCCAGAAGGTGATGGGGTCCAGCACCTACTGCCTCAAATGGGTAGTAAAGGCAGAATCATTCAACTCGCTTAAAAGCTACCCCGATAGGCACCTCAGGTGCTGAAAAGTGGGATTAGGCAGGCTGGCTCACTTTAATGCTGGCACAAACATAATGGGCCAAATGGCCTCTTTGCTGTCAATATTTGATGAATTTTTGATAAGGAGATATTAGAGTGGTTGCTCAAAAGCTTACTAAGAGAGTTGTTTTTTTTACAGAACATCTTTTATCTCACATGCCTTTTCTATTTTCTGATTTATTTTCTTCCCCACATCCTGACTATTGATAGGAGCTTGTATCTAATTCCCACTGGCTTGTTTTTCCTTTGCAGTCATTCTACTCTACCCACACAGATCCTACGCCTTCCGACTCTATATTAATTCTTATAAGGCAGCACGGTGGCTGAGTGGTTAGCGCTGCTATGTCACCAGGGACCCGGGTTTGATTCCACCCTCGAGCGACTGTGGAAACTCCACACAGACATTCTCCCTGTGTCTGCATGGGTTTCCTCCGGGTGCTCCGGTTTCCTCCCACAGTCCAAAGATGTGTAGGTTAGGTGGATTGGCCATGCTCAATTGCCCATAGTGTTCAGGGTGTGCAGGCCAGGTGGGTTAGCCATGGGAAATGCAGGGTTATAGGGGTAGGGTTGGTCTGGGTGGGATGCTGCTCGGAATGTCTGTGTGGACTTGATGGCCTGCTTTCACACTGTCGAGTTTCTACAGCGATTCTCTGAAAAGCTTAGGAAGAGAGTTCCAATGTTAAAGATCTAGGTAACTGAAGCAATAAAAAACATGGATGAAAAACAGGTCAGATTTGGAGGAGTATGGATATCTCAGAAGTGTAAGGCTGGGTAGGTAGACACGGGGCCAGGGATGTCAAGGGCATGGAAGGCTTTGAAAAATGAAGGTAAAACTGTGAATGCTGGAAATCTGAAACAAAAAACAGAAACTCAGCAGGTCTGGCAGCACCTGTGGAGAGAAAGCAGAGCTAATGTTTCTGAAGAAGGGTCACCGGACCTGAAATGCCAACTCTGCTTTCTCTCCACAGATGCTGCCAGAGCTGTTGACTTTCTCCAGCAATTTCTATTTTTGTGTGTGAAGAAATGAAGGTATTGGTGGATTAGGAGCTGATGTATTTCAGCAATCTCTGGGGTGATTGGGAGACAGGACTCAGTCCAAATTAAAATATGGGCAGCAGAAGTTTGAATCAGGTTTATCAAAGTTGCAAGGTGGCAGGAGAACATTGAAATTATCGAGGGTCAAAGGCAAGAAAGCCATCGATGAGGGTACTGCTGAGGAAACAGGAAGCTGTTGTGAGATGTAGGATTGATTCTTACCGTTAAAGGCGCTGTAAGATTAACAGCAGTGAAACCTGCAGCACTGGCCTGTAGGTCACCGGGAATAGAGATTGGATCTGGTTGGATTGAAAGACTCTTGAGGACAGCAGGTTCCTTCTCACCCCCACAATTAGCCCAAGAAAAAGTACCTTGACTTAGAATCTGAAAAAGAGGGCATAGTGCAAGTCTGTGAGAAGAGAACAGATATCTGTCACCTTTGAATGCAATCACTGCAAAGGGTAACAAAAGGCATTTTCAGTCTTTTTTTTAATCTTAATCACTATATCCAAATCATCAGCACTACTCTGGACTTCAATGCCAGAGCTCTCAGTCATGAGAAGGGTTATTGTCTCTCTGACAGTTCTCATTCCCGTCCCTCTGATTATGGTGCACGCTCAGCACTGGTCCTTCCTAAGTTCAAAGTACCGACCTTCCGACGGCACAGGGCTCCCTAGGTGTTGACCCCGATGTACAGCGATCCATTAATACTTTAGAGAATTCATAGAATCCCTACAGTGTGGAAACAGGCCCTTCGGCCCAACAAGTCCACACCGAACCTCAGAGCATCCCACCCAGACCCATCCCCCTATAACCCACCTAATCTACACCTCCCTGAATACTACGGGCAATTTAGCATGGCCAATCCACCTAACCTGCACATCTTTGGACTGTGGGAGGAAACCCACGCAGACACGGGGAGAACGTGCAAACTCCACACAGACAGTCGCCTGAGGCTGGAATTGAACCCGGGTCCCTGGCGCTGTGAGGCAGCAGTGCTAACCACTGTGCCGTCCAAATACTTTCTCCGACAGTGCAGTGAACTGTCAAGTTTTGGCTGTGACAGTGCCAAGCTCCCTCAGTACTGACCCTTTAACAGTTCAGGACTCCCTCGGCACTACCCTTCTCTCAGTGCAGGGCTCCTTCAGCATTACATGACTTCCAGATCAGTGCTGGCTGGTGGACAATGCAAAATCCCAAACACACATCTCCATTGTGCTTGCTGACTTAAATTGGCTCCTAGTCTGGCAGTGGCTCAGTGTTAAAATCCTTATCCCAGTTTTTGAAATCCTCCATGGCCTTATCCCTCCCCATCTCTGTAACCTCCTGCAACAATCCTAGGTCTCTCTGCTCCACTAAATCGGCCTCTTGAGCCTTCCGACTTTAATCACTCCACCACTGCCTTAAATTCCATAATTCTCTTCCTAAACATATTTGCCCATTCTCCACCTTTCAGGTGTTCCTGAAATCTTGTATCTTTAACTAAGCTTTCAGTCACCTGCCCTGATATCTAATGTGGCTCAGTGTAAAATTGCATCTGATAAATCTCCTCAGAGGTGTCTTGGGACAGCTTATGATATACATACAGGTGCCACACAAATGTAAGTTGTCCTAAAACAGCAATCTGCAGCAACTGTACTTAATCACAGAAACATGAAAGGGACCTACCAGCTTCAGCTTTTTATTGTGTAACGTCCGAATGTAGAACGTATCCCCATTATCCACTTGATATGCAGAGACAGATCCTAAATAAACGAGGAATACAAAAATAACCTTCATCGCACTGATCCCTGTGTAAAGATTCCTGGGGAAGAAATGTAGAAAGAGAAAGTGGAATGCTATCACCAAAGGTGAAAGAAAAGCCAGGGATACGCCTGCAGACACTGTGTAAGCGGGTCTGTGCAAACACTAACATTAAAAGCTGAATAAAACATTCATTCTGCCTGCCGACTCAAGTCAGGAAACAGTTGCAAATAACCACAAACAAGGATTATAAAGAGAGCTGCAGGATGCACCCCTTCGGCATCAAGTTCTAGTTCAGATACACTCTTTCACCCTCTGTGGGCTGGAGGGCTACACTTCAAAAATGGGCAAAGCACTGGCTTGAGCATTCTGTGCAAGCGTAGCCACTGTACAGTAGAAGTATCAGCACAGAAGGAAGGCATTTGCTCCAACAAATCTGTAATGGCTTTTGTGAAGGGCATGCCGATTTAGTTCCACTGCCCGGCTCGTTCCCCCATATTCTTGCAACATTTGTCCGTTTTATATTCATTCATGGGATGTGGGTGTCAGTAGCTTGCCCAGCGTTTATTGCCCATTCCCTATTTGGGAAGAGTCAACCACATTGCAGTGGGTCTGCAGTCACATGTAGGCCAGACCAGGTAAGGGCAGCAGATTTCCTTCGCTAAAGGACATTAGTGAACCAGATAACTCCACAGAGTTAGGTATTCTGTCACCAAGTCACCTTTCATTTACACATGCATTGTACTTGACACTGGTCCAAGTTCCTCAAAGCTAGCTCTTAGAATGAGCCAAATCTCTGACACTCCTGTTTATATCTGTCAGCCAGGGCTCCCTTTTTGGACCAGGTTAACAACCCAAATCTGGGAACTCATTTTTTATGATGTCCACCTGGCTGGCTTCATTACAATCACTACAATTATCATTAGACTGTTATTTCCAGATTATTATTGAATTCAAATTCCACCATCTGTCATGGCGGGATTCAAACCCAGGTGCCCAAAACATTAGCTGGGTCTCTAGATTAATAGTCTAGCGATAATACCACAAGGCCATCATCTACCCAATTCCCTTTTAAGGACCTTACTAAATCTGTACCCAACATCCTATTAGGCAGTGCCTTCCAAATCCTAATCACTCAGGAAATAATAGAATGGTCACTGCACAGAAGGAGATCATTCAGCTGGTTGAATCTGTGTTGGCTCTCTGAAAGAACAATTCACCTCAACCTACATAGACCATGGACTTCTCCTGGAATTTTTGCATGTTTTTCCTTTGTAGGTAATAATCCAGGATACCTTTTGAATGGACTGTTTGCACCTGCTTCCACCACACTATCAAACAGTGCATACCAAATCATAACCACTCACTGTGTGAAAATGTTTTTCTTCAGGTCAACATTGCCTCTTTTATTCATTTTCTTGAATGTATGCCCTCTGGCACTTCATCCTTCCATCACTGGGAAAAATTTCTCCCTGTCTAATATATCCATACGCTAAATCTTTTTGACTGCTTCTATCAGATCTCCTCTCAAAATTTTCTTCCCTTACGGGAACAGTCCTAGTTTCTCTCCTCTGTCTATGTAACTGAAGTTCCTCATCCCTGAAATTATCCTCATGAATCATTTCTGCACAATCTCCAGCATGTTAGCATCATTTATGAAGTGTGGTGCCCAGAACTGAGTAATTCTACAACTGAGGAGACAGTGGTAAAGGGATATTATCACTGGGCCAATAATCTGCAGGTCCAGGTAATGTTCTGCAAACACAATCAAATTGTACCATGGTAGTTGACATTTATTTAGTGAATTTAAATTCTATGATAAAATAAAGTCAGTCTGAGCAATGGTGACCGTGATAATCATCATCAATTGTTGCAAAATCCCATCTGGTTCACTAACATCCTTTAGGGAAGGAAATCTACTGTCCTTACCTGGTCTGGTCTCCATGTGATCCCTGATCAACAGCAATGTGGCTGACTCTGAACTGCCCACCAAAATGGCCTAGCAAGCCACTCAGTTCAAAGTTAATTCGAAATGGCAACAAATACTGGCCCAATCAGCAATGCCCATATCCCACGAAAGAATTACAAAAAAAGCTGAGGCCGAGCCTATGTTTTATGAAAGTTTAACATTGCTTTTGCACTCTGTGCCTCTGTTACTAAGGCCTGGGATATTGTTTGGTATATTAATCAATCTCTCAATCTTTTTTTAATTTAACCCCTAAAATAAAGATGGAAGAGATTGGAAGCACAACAGAAATTGTTGGAGAATCTGAGCAGGTGTGGCAGCATCCGTGGAAAGAAAGCAGAGTTAATGTTTTGAGCCCAAATGAAGAAGGGTTACAGATGCCTCCAGACCTGCCAAGTTTCTCCAGCAGTTTGTGCTTTGTGTGTTTCTCAACCTTTCTTTAAAGCTTTAAAGAATTTTGCACATATACACCCTCACCCCTCTCCTCCTGCATGTCTCTTTAGAATTGTGTTCTTTGTTCGATAATGTCTCTCTGACCCACACCAATCACTTTACACTTCTCTGTTTCAAACTGCAACTACCAATTGTTTAACCATTTCACCAATCTGTCTGTCCTTATGAAGTTCTACACTAAACTTCTCACAGTTCAGAATACTTCTAAGTTTTGTATCATTGGCAACATTTGAAATTGTGTTTTGTACATGAAACAATGTGTCTTTAATGTAAATCGGTACTCTCCCTAAAGTCTTTTCATCCTTCCTAACTATGTCAAGGCTTCGCAGAGTGTGCAAAAGAGATTTACAACAGTGGTATGTTAGTTATGAGGAGAAACTGGAAAGGTTGACATATTTCTCCTTAAAACAAAGAAATAATTTTATGGAAGTAAACATGATTGTGAAGAGTTTTCACAGAGCAGTTAGGGACAGACTGTTTCCACAGGCAGGAGACTTGGTAACCAGAGGACTCTACCTTAGGGAGACACTGTCTTACACAGTGCGTTACTGTGGTTTACAATGCATTTCCTAAAAGTGCAGTGGAAATGCAAGTAATAATAAATTGAAAATAATTTTCAAAGCAAATTGGAAAGTGTTGAAAAGGAAAATGTCATAGTTATAGAGGGAGAGAACAGGGTATTGGCACGGATTGGATTGCTCTTTCAGAGAACCAGTATGGGATGATGGACTGAATGGCCTCTAGCTGTGCTGTATGATTCTACAAAGAGTATAGGAAAACAATTGCGTGAACCAGAACTCTTTCTTTGACCTGGCTTTCCAGAATTATCACTAAACTTCTCCGCGTCTCCAGCAATTGAGGAAAAATGTCCCATATACTACTGCATACAATCAAGGAGAAACACCATTAAACATTCAAAACGTTTTGTGTTTAATCACATTTTCATAGAATCCCTACAGTGTGGAAATAGGCCATTCGGCTCAACAAGTCCACACCGACCCGTCCCCGTTCCCCACCTAATCTACACATCCCTGAACACTATGGGCAATTTAGCTTGGCCAATCCACCTAACCTGCACATCTTTGGTCTGTGGGAGGAAACCAGAGCACCCGGAGGGAACCCACGCAGACATGGGGAGAACGTGCAAACTCCACACAGACAGTTCAACCACTGAGCCAAGAAGGAGCAAGAGACGCTGCTTGGCTGTATGAAGCAGTTGGAATTAGTTAATAATGTGACTAAACCTCCAGGAATATGTCCAACCAAAATTGGCAACTGTCACTGTTACTCTGGGTAACTTGCTGCACCATTTTTCCACTGCACATTTCCTATTTCTTATCTGTCATTGTTATTATCATTGTTATTACCATTTCTATCTTGTTGTCGAAGGATGATAGATTTTAGAACTTAGGAGCACGAGTCGGCCATTCAGCCCTTCAGGTCTGCTTTACTGCTCAATTAAATTGTGACTGATTTACCTGTGATCTCAATGCTGCCTTTGTCTGTCCCCCATAACCCTTCTTACAGTATTTGTTGTCTCCTTTCCTGTGACTAATTCTGATCTGATGATGCTTTGTCAATCTTTTTCTTGGGTGAAAATGGAATAAAACTAAACAGTAAGATTCACACAAGTGGCAGTGATGAGAAGATGGAGCTATTGACATTTACAACTCATCATTCGTTACACAATCCAGCACATTGTATCGGTTGTACTAAATGTCTAAATAAACATTGTTAACAATCCAAATGCGCTGCTCTTTCCTCAGAATCTTATGATCATAAGGCTGTATTTCCCTGTGCTTAAAACATTTATTTTTTTTAACGTTAAAAATGCAGTGCCCTGTTCCTCAACTGTAACCAATTACAAAGCATTCTCTGTAAAAGAACAAATTCTCCTTGTCTCTTTCTTCCTCCTTTGTGGCATACTTCTGTCCAAGCATGTGCTTTTTTGCTCAATAAAGAGAGCCCTAGGATTATCTATTGAGTGTAAAACAAAGACTATTTTATATTCGGTTAGAGACAAAAAAAACTGCAGATGCTGGAATCCAGTGTAGACAAACAGGAGGCTGGAAGAACACAGCAAGCTAGGCAGCATCTAGAGGAAAGGAGAAGTCAATGTTTCAGGTATTACCCTTCAGTCCTGAAGAAGGGTAATGCCCGAAACATTGACTTTTCTTTTCGTCGAGATGCTGCCTGGCTTGCTGTGTTCTTCCAGCTTTCTGTTTGCCTACTATTTTATACTCATCTGGTAAAGACTACTGTATATTTGCACATTGCGAAGGATGTGACAGTAATGAAGAGGATGCAGATAAGGAAAACCAGAATGATAATGGGCCTTCGGGAGATTTACATGAGGTATTTTCTTGCGTACAAGTTACATTTATATCTTCAACACAGTGAAACATCCCAAGATGTTTCCCAAAAGTGTTTCAGACAAAAAAAAACCTAACGTATTAGTAGATTGTTGTTTGTCAGTACAGAACTTGAGTATTGCTGAGAAAAGGTTTTATCAAAGCTTTTCATCTTGCACTTATCAGGACAATTCACCAGATTATCGATTCCAGGGGAAATCATCATTTATACTGTATGAGAGGAGAGTGCTGTTGGTTAGCAGGTAGTTGTTGATTGGCAGAGGCGTTGCCATGGAGAATGCAGCAGTTCATGGTCAACGTTCCACACGTGGTGACTGCGCCATTGTCTTCTGATTCTGGAAATCACTGCTGCACACAATCCTCAGAGGATTGCACAGCCAGAAAGAAAACGAGAGGGAACACTGTTCATGTGTTCATGTCTGCTCCTATGATGCTGCTTGGCCTGCTGTGTTCATCGA